CTATTTTTCCTGCCTGTACAAATATCAGTATCTATAGTTTTTTAAAATTTTATTGAAAAGCACAAATGAGCCCTGACCGGTTTGGCTCAGTGGATTCCCGGGTTCGATTCCGGTCAGGGGCATGTACCTTAGCTGCGGGCACATCCGCAGTTGGGGGTGTGCAGGAGGCAGCTGATCGATGTTTCTCTCTCATTGATGTTTCTAGCTCTCTATCCCTCTTCCTTCCTCTCAGTGAAAAATCAATAAAATATATTTAAAAAAAGAAAAAAAACCCACAAATGACATCATATTGTACATTACACACACACACACACACACACACAGCCATTTGCGTTCTTTCACTTATGTCCTACATCATCTCACAGAAAACTGTTTGTTTTTTTTAACCAGATGCAAGAGAACCTGATGTATGGAATGTAAGTTATGTGCCCAGGCCCCTGCTAATGAACTTTACCTTGCACAGTGTTTTTGTATATAGTATAGAGATACTATCATATCTCTATATAATATCATATCTCTATATTATATAATATCCTAGAATTAGAATTGCTTTGCCAAGGGTATGCACGTTTAAATATCTGAAATACTGCCAAATCTCCCCCCGGGAAGATGATCCCAGAGAGGGCTCAACGAGCATTCTGTGAGGGCGGATGGACACTGAAAACATACTTTGAGCCATATCCCGAATTTTATCCCACCCCACAACTCCCTCCAAAACTCCAGACTTGTACATTCACCTTGAACTCGACACCTAGCCTTGAGTGTTTGAAGGCCCCTCAACCTCACGTGTCCAAAACAGAGCGCCTGCTCCTCCTCGGCCTTCGCCATTTCAGTTACTGGAACTCTGCCTTCCCGTGGCCCAGGCCAAAAGCTTGGCGTCACTCTTGACTCCTCTTGCTCTCACAGCCCCCACCTGTCAGCTCTGCCATCACAATGCACCCAGCCTCCTACCAGTTCTCCTGACCTTCATGCCTCCCTCTGAGGTCTGAGCCGCCACCCACTCTCACCTGAATCGCTGCAAGTGCCTCCTCATGGGGCTCCCTGCTTCAGCCCTGTCCCTCCATGATACTTCTCTTCCCAGAAGCCAAAGTGATTCCTTTAACACAAGTCAGCCGTGTCCCTCCACAGCTCAAAACCTTCAAAGTGCTTCCCGTTTTCCCCAAGGTATAAGTGGACGCCCTTGGAAGGCCCCACAGGACCTGGACCCCATCACCGTCTGTCCTCCCCCAGAATCCACCTTCCTCACTCTCTCTGCTCCAGCCACAGGGTCTCCTTGCCGGTCCTCCAACCACCACACCCACCTGCGTCAGGGTCTTGGCACTGCCCTGACTCCTCTACCACAGAGGTCTCCGAATGGCCCACTCTCCCGCCTCCTTCAAGTCTTTGCTCAAATGGCACTTTCCCCAGAAGACGCAGCCTGGCCAACCCATTTAAATTTTAACCCTCTCCCATTATTGAATTCCCTTACTCCTTAAATCATCTGTATATCTAATGTACTAAATAATTTACTTCTTTTGTTTCTTACAGCATCTCTTCTTTCCATTGGAACATAAGCTTCATGAGGTGGGGGTTTTGGTAGTACTTGGTACAGAGTAGGTGCTCAATAAATATTTGTTGACTAAATTAAAGGACAGAATAGTTTTGAAACTGGAGTTTCAGTTCTTCTTCAGTTTGCTCATTCCTTAAGTGTGCCTCCTCCCTCAGATGAGGGTCTGAGGGCCACGCCCCTGTCTGTTCCCCCACATCCAGCACTGGACTCTGCCTGTGGAGGGGGGCAGGATGGGAGTGAGTGTGGGACTTAGTCCACAGTGAAATAAACATCACAGTCACACCCCTGGCTGGTGTGGCTCAGTTGGATGGAGTGTCATCCTGTATACTGAAGGATTGTGGGCTCAATTCCCAGTCAGGGCACATACCTAGGTTGCAGGTTTGATCCCTGGTCGGGGTACATATGGGAGACAACTGATCAATGAATCTCGCTCACATTGATCTCTCTCTCTCTACCTCTCTCTCTCTCTCCCCTTCTCTCAAAAATCAATAAGCACATCCTCAGGTGAGGATTGAAAAAAATCAGTTAAATTCACATATGAATATGCAATAAAATTCCACAAATATAATTATAGAAAAGTAACCCCAAATTGTCCCATACTGACCTGGGATTACCCACAGGCCCAGACACCTTGTGGTCTGGTGTGGCATCCTGATCCTTGCACAGTCAGTAGTCTCTTCCTGACTTGATCTGAGCCTTCACTTCCCCACAGCTACTCCCTTGGGGGAGGCAGCCTTCACTTTTCCTCCCGAAGCCCCTGGACTTGGGTCCGGAACCCTCTGGAGGGAGCTCAGATGGGGTGTTCCAGCCTTCGCAAGCATCGGGCACACTCTTGGGCCAAGAGCCGCGGGATCAGTAGCAGAAGCCAGGAAGAGGACAGCTGTGGGAAGCGGGGATTCCCGTACATGTCTGTCCAGAAGGCACTTATTCATACCAGGACTCAACGTCTGTTACTTTAGCTGATTCCGACCTCAGAGCTGCAAGATGTGATGGGACTTGCTCAGGGTCTCAGGGAGCAGGAAACAGCAGAGCCAAGGTGTAAACAGCCCCTCAGCCCCCATGCCCTGGGTCAGGGGCCCCAAAGACAAGGAGGGGGCAGAATAAATCTTACCCACCTCACCAGCTTGTCTAGGTTTGTTTCTGGGGGAGGCGTTGGGCAGGGCCAGCCCTGAGAACCCCGGGAGCCTGACCATCCTGAAGGTTGGCATTCAAAAGTGGTGGAGGGGCCAAGGGAAGCGACTTGAGGTAGTCACTGGCCCAAACACTAGGTTTCAACGGTCCCCAATCATGCCAGAAGCCTCCTCCCCCCAAACCCACCCTCACACACACCCTGAAGACAGGATGGGCAGCTGGGGAGGTGGTGAGAGGCCTGTAACTCCGCCATTAGGCAACTAGTCTTTGGGCAGGCATGACCTCTCTGCGCACCCGGCTGAGCCTGCTGAGTCACCGGGATCTCAGGGCATCTTGTAGAGGTAGCTGAGAGCTGGGATTTGACAGGGGGATGGGCGGGGAGGCAGTCATTTAGGCACCTGGCAAGTTTAGGCAGAGGGAGCAGAATCCAGCAACTTTGTGGTTGGGTACAAAGCCTCTTGCTGGGCCCTCTAGTGACTAGTCCCTCCACGCACGTAGGTACAGGCATAACCACCTCACAGGCTTTACTCAGCAGACACAAGCAGAGTGCCTCCCGGCCTGTCAGAGAGAAAGGGGCGGAGGGACAGGAGAGGTGAGGAGGATGCTGGAGTGTGGGCTGACCCCTCAGAGCAGCAGCAGGGTGTGGCCCGGCCCTCTCCTAGCAGAACCTGGCTGCATGTGCCAACTCTGAGTCAGCCACGCCTATCCTGCCCAACCACCCTGGCCAGGGAGGGGCTTCAGCTCCTCTGTCTGGGCCTGAGGCCAAAAGAGGGCCTATGTGAGGGGGTTGCGGGTGTGCAAAGGAAGAAGGAGCCCAGCTGCAGCCCTCACCAGGGGCATCTGGGGCAAAGGGAGAGGTGGCAGTCCCAGCTCATGCCCTGGTTTGGGCCTGAGGCTCAGAACTGGGAGGTGATGTGAAAAAATAGGAATGATGCATTGTCCCCACCCCCAGGCCAGGCTCCAAAGTGAGGCCCGAGCAGAAG